TTATTCCATTTAATAAGTATATATATTTTACTTTTTTCGTTTTCTTGACTTAAGAAACTAGTTAAATAATGTTACACAAAGCTTAACTAGGAGAAAATATATAAATAGTCCTGTTTTGGTGGTTCATTTTATACTACAACACCACTTATAACCACATGCATATCTTTTGATAACAAATTGTATGCTTAAAAAAATTATAAAGTTTTTCCTACTCAACATGATCAGCCGCTGGAAACTAGATACAAAATATACAAAACGTGATATACCTTACTACCTACCCATGAGCCCACCCAAAAGTCCTAAAACCCCACACGAGCATCACGTCCAAGATATTGAATCTATAAATACTTAAACACAACAAACAATTTCCCAATATTGTTAGTATTCATTACTAGCGAGCACACAACTCTCTACACAAACATGACCATGACGATGATGAGCCTTACCACGTCATTACCATACCATATTCAAATCCTAGTAGTCTTTATCATCTCCATAGCAACAATCACTTCATTGGGCCGAATACTATCAAGGCCCACCAAAACCAAAGACCGGTCTCGCCAGCTTCCTCCGGGCCCACCAGGATGGCCCATCCTCGGCAACTTACCGGAGCTAGCCATGACTCGTCCAAGAACCAAATACTTGCACCAAGCCATGAAAGAGTTAAAGACAGAGATCGCATGTTTCAACTTCGCCGGAGTCAACGTGATCACCATACACTCCGACGAGATCGCTAGAGAAGCGTTTAAAGAGCGAGACATAGATTTGGCCGACAGGCCTCATCTTTTCGTCGTGCAGGCCATCGGAAACAACAAAACAATGGGTTTCTCTCCCTACAACGAACAGTTCACGAAGATGAAAAGAGCGATCACGACGGAACTTATGTCCACTAAAACGTTGAACATGTTGGTAGCTTCGAGAACCATCGAAGCGGACAATCTCATTGCTTACGTTCACTCGATGTATCAACGGTCCGAGACGGTCGACATTAGAGAAATCTCGAGGGTTTATGGTTACGCAGTGATCATGAGGCTGTTGTTTGGTAGGAGAAATGTCACGGAAGATAACGTTTTTTCGAACGATGGAAGGTTAGGGGAAGAGGAAAAGAAGCATCTCGAGGCGATTTTCGGAACTTTAAACTGTTTGCCAAATTTTTCTCCGGGGGATTACTTGGAAAGATGGTTTGGAGGTTGGAATATTGAAGGTCAAGGCAAGAGGGCGAGGTTGAATAACAATATTGTTCGTAGTTACAACAATCCAATAATTGACGAGAGAGTCGAGTTATGGAGGAAAAAAGGCGGTAAGGCTGCTTTTGAAGATTGGATCGATATCTTCATTACGCTAAAAGATGAAAACGGAAACTACTTGATCACGCCAGACGAAATCAAAGCTCAATGCGTTGTAAGTAAAAACAAAAACGAAAAAACTCTTATTAATATATAGTAACCGTATATATAACCTGAGTATGGGGACTAGTTGCAAAGTGAAGTACTATTTTTATATAAATAATAAAAAAAATTAATAGTTGTTTTGAGATTTTGATTCGATTGGTGTTTTGTTACAGGAATTTTGTATAGCAGCGATAGACAATCCGGCAAATAACATGGAGTGGACACTTGCGGAAATGTTAAAGAACCCGGAGATACTCACAAAAGCTGTGAAGGAGTTAGACGAAGTGGTCGGAAAAGACAGGCTTGTTCAAGAATCAGACATACCAAATCTAAACTACTTAAAAGCTTGTTGCAGAGAAACATTTAGGATTCACCCTAGTGCTCATTATATCCCTACTCATCTCGCACGTCAAGATTCCACCCTCGCGGGTTACTTCATTCCCAAAGGTAAAGAAAATTCTTTATTTAATTATAACTAGTAATTTTATGGTTTGTAGCTATACTAAACAATTTATCAATTGTTTTGAAAATTTTGTTTGGTCTATAATATCACAATAGATAGAAGACCGAGAGAGTTTTTTTTTTTTAGAAAAACACGAGATGTGTGTCTACCGGTTGAATAAAAGACAGAAGACATACATTTCATATCCTAAACA